TTACCGTCAGCCGTCCCCACGGTTTCTTCTTAGTGTTTGGTATTTCGGCGCCTTGCGGGGACACTTTCCATTTTTTTATGTTTTGTGTGTTTTGTTTTATTTTATGCCTTACTTTTCTTTGGCGATTTGATTTTCTCAGATCTTGCGTCTTGTTTTCTCTTGCTCCGTTCTTTTTTTTTTTTTCGTTTGTTTTGTCTTCCTAGTTCTGCTCACTTCTGTTTGACAAACTGGGACCGAAACGAAAAGAAAANTGCCAAAAGCGCAAACCCGGTCCTCGGTTCCCAGTGTTCTGTTTGATCGTTTCGTAGTCCACCGCCGTTGCTGGCGGAAAAGGGCGAGTGTTCTCCCTTTTGAGTATGTTTTGGTTGAGTTCCCCGTTCTGGATTGTGATTGATGTCGTTATTCCTTGTCTGCCTGCGTCTGCCCGTGGATCGCCGCGACCTGGCGAAGGTGTACCGACTCAGGTAAAAGTCAATCGACGGTTACCCTGCGAATCGGGTCCTCCTTAACACTCTCCACCCACAGAATTTACCCTCAACTGGGAACATCTTGTGGCCAGCATGGGTAATTCGATGGAAGTGTCACAAGGTTCTTTGTAGGATCGTCTCCAAGAGGTGTTCTCAGGACTGACACACATTGTGTCCTTGGGAAAATATCCAAGTCAGGAGAAAAAGTGTGCACCCAAGGAGATTCGGACCGGTATCCAGCTGACGCCATGTGCGAAGGTGTACCGATTAAGGTAAAAGTCAATCGTCAGTTACCCTGCGAATCGGGTCCTCCTTAACAGAAGGCCATATATTGGATAGATATTTAGTCGTGAATTCGAATCCCCATTCGGTGAAAAATATACAAAGCGAACGAAAGCTGAAAAGATCTCGTTTACCAAACTTCGACGTTAGCGCCATTGACGAGGGAAAGGGACGGACGGGTGGAACCTTCTCGCGAGAACAAAAAAAAATCAGCACGCACCGCTGGGGAAAGGTGGGTTTAAAGGAATGCCCGCCCGACGGTGGCTTGCCTCCTAGATGTAGTAGATGTAGATTCTGCCGTAGACACTCTTGTCCACGAGCACGTTGAGATGGGAAGGTTGCTTGTTATTGCAGAAGCGGGTCTGCTACAGGTCTGAGGTGAGGCGGATTGCCCTCAACCTGGAGGCACGCAGATAGCTAAGTCCCGATGGGGTACGTCCTAAGAGGGTATACATCGTGACGTCCCCCATCTTAATCTAGACCGACTGTGTACCCTATCTGTGCTATACAGCAACACTCCTTAACATGGGGATGAAAGCAATAAAAAAAGAAGAAAAAAAGCCCCCGGCGTTTACCCTGGATGGTTGTATGTAATTGTACGAAAAATACCGTGTACTACTTACTCTACTACCGTAATTGTGCGTGTGATGGCTCATTGTGCGTGTTATGGCACCGTGGGCGATCGTTTATTAAATAATTCCTCTTGGTTTTTCATCGCACCCCGGTGCCATGGCACCATTGGGTGCCATAACAATCGATACCGGTGTGGAAATGCAATTAAAGATTTCGTTCTAGATGTCCAACGCACCCCCGGTACGATGACACCGGTGGGTGCGATGCGGAAGAAATCACACTGGCCGTTTTCGGTGCTGAGTGAACACACCCCGGTGCGATGACACCGATAGGTGTGATACTCAAGAATCGAACACAGGTGTTTCGGTACGAGTACCGTAATTGTAATAAGTGTTACGGTACAAAAATGAAGCGGCTGGTGCTAGTTTGGGGTAGACAAACGCTGTGGCGCTTTGGCTCCCTGCTGGGCAAGGCATACCGTACGGTGTCGTTTTCTTCCAACCTCTTTGTTGGTGGCAAGCCCCTNCACAGGTGTTTCGGTACGAGTACCGTAATTGTAATAAGTGTTACGGTACAAAAATGAAGCGGCTGGTGCTAGTTTGGGGTAGACAAACGCTGTGGCGCTTTGGCTCCCTGCTGGGCAAGGCATACCGTACGGTGTCGTTTTCTTCCAACCTCTTTGTTGGTGGCAAGCCCCTCATTTGTTGGCCGGTGTTTCCATATTTCTTTGCTTGCTTCAAGGGGCATGTTACCGGTAAAATTGTAGTAGCGTTTACGAACTCCTTCTTGTTCGGTTGGTTGGAGGAAGGGGATGTATACTGTGCGCTTGATTATGTGACTAAGTGCATTCGATGTACGGATTGCCGTAGAAAAAGCATGAATCAACTGTAGCGAACCTCGACGGTACGATATACACACAACAACATATTCGCCTGATTGAGAGCGTAGCATCTGATTGAGAGCGAGATTG